CCAGCCCTTAAGGGGGAGGTGTGGCTACCATGGTCCCAGCCCTTAAGGGGGAGGTGTGGCTACCATGGTCCCAGCCCTTAAGGGGGAGGTGTGGCTACCATGGTCCCAGCCCTTAAGGGGGAGGTGTGGCTACCATGGTCCCAGCCCTTAAGGGGGAGGTGTGGCCACCATGGTCCCAGCCCTTAAGGGGGAGGTGTGGCTACCATGGTCCCAGCCCTTAAGGGGGAGGTGTGGCCACCATGGTCCCAGCCCTTAAGGGGGAGGTGTGGCTACCATGGTCCCAGCCCTTAAGGGGGAGGTGTGGCTACCATGGTCCCAGCCCTTAAGGGGGAGGTGTGGCTACCATGGTCCCAGCCCTTAAGGGGGAGGTGTGGCTACCATGGTCCCAGCCCTTAAGGGGGAGGTGTGGCTACCATGGTCCCAGCCCTTAAGGGGGAGGTGTGGCTACCATGGTCCCAGCCCTTAAGGGGGAGGTGTGGCTACCATGGTCCCAGCCCTTAAGGGGGAGGTGTGGCTACCATGGTCCCAGCCCTTAAGGGGGAGGTGTGGCTACCATGGTCCCAGCCCTTAAGGGGGAGGTGTGGCTACCATGGTCCCAGCCCTTAAGGGGGAGGTGTGGCTACCATGGTCCCAGCCCTTAAGGGGGAGGTGTGGCTACCATGGTCCCAGCCCTTAAGGGGGAGGTGTGGCTACCATGGTCCCAGCCCTTAAGGGGGAGGTGTGGCTACCATGGTCCCAGCCCTTAAGGGGGAGGTGTGGCTACCATGGTCCCAGCCCTTAAGGGGGAGGTGTGGCTACCATGGTCCCAGCCCTTAAGGGGGAGGTGTGGCTACCATGGTCCCAGCCCTTAAGGGGGAGGTGTGGCTACCATGGTCCCAGCCCTTAAGGGGGAGGTGTGGCTACCATGGTCCCAGCCCTTAAGGGGGAGGTGTGGCCACCATGGTCCCAACCCTTAAGGGGGAGGTGTGGCTACCATGGTCCCAGCCCTTAAGGGGGAGGTGTGGCTACCATGGTCCCAGCCCTTAAGGGGGAGGTGTGGCCACCATGGTCCCAGCCCTTAAGGGGGAGGTGTGGCCACCATGGTCCCAGCCCTTAAGGGGGAGGTGTGGCCACCATGGTCCCAGCCCTTAAGGGGGAGGTGTGGCCACCATGGTCCCAGCCCTTAAGGGGGAGGTGTGGCCACCATGGTCCCAGCCCTTAAGGGGGAGGGTGGTGGCCCTTAAGGGGGAGGTGTGGCTACCATGGTCCCAGCCCTTAAGGGGGAGGTGTGGCTCCCACCATGGTCCCAGCCCTTAAGGGGGAGGTGTGGCCCCATGGTCCCAGCCCTTAAGGGGGAGGTGTGGCTTAAGGGGGAGGTGTACCATGGTCCCAGCCCTTAAGGGGGAGGTGTGGCCACCATGGTCCCAGCCCTTAAGGGGGAGGTGTGGCCACCATGGTCCCAGCCCTTAAGGGGGAGGTGTGGCCACCATGGTCCCAGCCCTTAAGGGGGAGGTGTGGCCACCATGGTCCCAGCCCTTAAGGGGGAGGTGTGGCCACCATGGTCCCAGCCCTTAAGGGGGAGGTGTGGCCACCATGGTCCCAGCCCTTAAGGGGGAGGTGTGGCCACCATGGTCCCAGCCCTTAAGGGGGAGGTGTGGCCACCATGGTCCCAGCCCTTAAGGGGGAGGTGTGGCCACCATGGTCCCAGCCCTTAAGGGGGAGGTGTGGCCACCATGGTCCCAGCCCTTAAGGGGGAGGTGTGGCTACCATGGTCCCAGCCCTTAAGGGGGAGGTGTGGCTACCATGGTCCCAGCCCTTAAGGGGGAGGTGTGGCTACCATGGTCCCAGCCCTTAAGGGGGAGGATACAAGACTCCCTTATGAGATGGCAGCAGCCAGGAGACAACATATCCTGGAGGGGGGCGGGGGGTGTTCTGGCCAGGGGTACTTCCCCAGTGACAGGGGGGGGGGCTGTGGGCGGGGGGTACCCCCTGCTCTACCCAGGGCACCGACGCTAGAGGGGGGGAGGGGAGAGGGGGAGTAATCGGTGTTATCACACGTTATCCTGGAGACGTGAGAGTTGCTCCCCAGTAATGACTGCGGGGGGGGGGTGGGAGTGGCCTAATGTTACTTTTTAGAAGCAAGCTTTGAACACACTACCCCCCCCCCCCCCTGACCGTCTCTCCTGTCCCCCTCACCCCCGCCCCTCATCCCTCGCCCCTCACCCCCGCCCCCCCGCCCCTCTCCGTGACCTTGGGGCCGTGTCGAGAAGCACTCACTATTTTCCTTCCCCAGTTTGACGTCATTAACGTAAACTGGTTGTCTGGTGTACCCTCCCCCCCCCCCTCCCTCACACAGGGGCGAGGGGTGGGGTGGCCGAGTGGACAGCACGTTGGACACGTAATCCTGTGGCCCGGGTTCGATTCCCGGCGCCGGCGAGAAACAAAAATGGGCAAAATTTCTTTCACCCTGATGCCCCTGTTACCTAGCAGTAAATAGGTACCTGGGATTTAGACAGCTGTTACGGGCTGCATCCTGTGTGTGTGTGTGTGTGTGTGTGTGTGTGTGTGTGTGTGTGTGTGTGTGTGTGTGTGTGTGTGTGTGTGTGTGTGTGTGTGTGTGTGTGAAAAATAGTAGTTAGTAACAGTTGATTGACAGTTGAGAGACGGGTCGAAAGATCAGAGCTCACCCCCCCCCCCCCAGCACAACTAGGTTAATACAACTAGGTGAGTACAGTCAGGGACACCGGTACACCCAGCGTCTCCCTCAAGCAGCTCACCGTGAACCTGCCTCTCTCACAGCTCATGGTAAGCCAACCTGGCCGCCTGCAAGGAACCTCGCATTTCGCTCGTATGCGTTACATACGGCCAAAAATTGTCGTACTAGAAAATGGCAGCGGCTGGCGAAAGTGACGTACTGTCCCGTTTTCTGTTTTGGGTCCTCTGGCAGGTTAGGAGAGGACACTTTAAATTGACCGTTTTCTTAGCCTTAGGAGGACGGGCTGGGTAAGCACCAATCACAATTTTTTCCCAGGAACACAGCCCTAAATTGGTTTTATTCCCAGATCCCCAATTATGGCTGCGTGAACAGAGACGAGCATTTATGGATTGGTGCCCAGTCAATCCTCCCCGTGTTTTGTCACGGGGCGAGTGTGTGTACACACCTAATTGTGCATGCGGGAAATGAGCTTTAGCTCTTTGGTATGGAGGCTGACTCCATACACAGTTTCAAGTGTAGATATGATAGAGCCCAGTAGACTCAGGAATCTGTACACCAGTTGACTGACAGTTGAGAGGCGGGACCAAAGAGCCAGAGCTCAACCCCCACAAGCACAACTAGGTGAGTACAAGGTGTGTAGCAGTAGCCAGGATGACCAAGAAGGCGCGACGCCCCGAGGGTGTGGACACGAGGGCGCCAGGTTGATGGACCGCCGCTGCCAGCGTGTGGTGCTGGGAGTGGTCTTCCCTGTAGGCTCCAGGGCGGGTGGTAGGGACAGTCAGCCCAGCAGCCATTACATGCTGTTGTAGGTGGTCATTCCACCTGATTCCAGGTGGGAGTAGGTGGGATACCCAGCCCGTTCTCACGAGTTGATAAGCGTCAGATTTATACTATTGTGCCTATCCAGATAGACTCTACCTTACCTTGAGGTGCTTCCCGGGCTTAACGTCCCCGCGGCCCGGTCGTCGACCAGGCCTCCTGGTTGCTGGACTGGTCAACCATGCTGTTGGACGCGGCTGCTCGCAGCCTGACGTATGCGTCACAGCCTGGTTGATCAGGTATCCATTGGAGGTGTTTATCCAGAGGATACCAGATCAACCAGGCTGTGAGCCTGGTTGTCAAACCTACAAAAGCCAAATGAAATCGATAATTTAATCCGGATAAACTATTTCTTGTTTAATGTGGAATCAAGAAATGATCGTTGCTTTCTCAAGCAGTACAGACGCTGTGCATTCTTGCCCAGAGTGAGGTAACCAACCCGCTGTGACAGTGCTATTGGTCATTCTATTATTTCCTACCACAGACGTGGCCGGACATTTACAATGCTAACCAACATATATACATTTTCTTCTCTCCTCCATGGACAGAGTTAGACATGTGTTAAACATATATGTTCAGTGATGTATTGAATAATCAACCACAGAAGGTGTTTGTAGTGCTTTTAATACGCTAATATAACCTACATACATATATGCACTGGTTTATGTCTGTCCCACATAAACAGGCATGTACATAAACACGTGTCCCACATAAACAGTGTTGGTCTGTTTGTTACATAGTGTTATTAACATGCGTTTACAAATGCAGTTCTGACCAGCTTACACATACCCTGTATATACATGCATACATGTATATACATACATACATACATGTATACATGCATACATGTATATGTTTATTTTCGTGATATATACACACACATATACATGTATATATACATATACATTGATGTCTCTCTTACTTTGAGAGAGAACCGTCACGTGTACCAGCAAGTGTACCATCACGTGTACCATCAAGTGTACCATCACGTGTACCATCAAGTGTACCATCACGTGTACCAGCAAGTGTACCGTCACGTGTACCGTCAAGTGTACAATCAAGTGTACCATCAGGTGTACCGTCACGTGTACCATCATGTGTACCATCACGTGTACCGTCAAGTGTACCGTCAAGTGTACCGTCACGTGTACCGTCAAGTGTACCGTCACGAGTACCATCACGTGTACCATCACGTGTACCGTCACGTGTACCATCATGTGTACCATCACGTGTACCAGCAAGTGTACCGTCACGTGTACCGTCACGAGTACCATCACGTGTACCATCACGTGTACCGTCACGTGTACCATCACGTGTACCGTCACGAGTACCATCACGTGTACAATCACATGTACCGTCACGTGTACCATCATGTGTACCATCACGTGTACCATCAAGTGTACCATCAAGTGTACCATCACGTGTACCGTCACGTGTACCGCCACGTGTACCATCAAGTGTACCATCACGTACCGTCACGTGTACCATGAAGTGTACCATCACGTGTACCATCAAGTGTACCGTCAAGTGTACCATCAAGTGTACCATCACGTGTACCGTCAAGTGTACCATCAAGTGTACCATCAAGTGTACCATCACGTGTACTATCAAGTGTACCATCACGTGTACCGTCAAGTGTACCATCACGTGTACTATCACGTGTACCATCAAGTGTACCATCAAGTGTACCATCACGTGTACCGTCAAGTGTACCATCAAGTGTACCATCACGTGTACCATCAAGTGTACCATCACGTGTACCATCACGTGTACCATCAAGTGTACCGTCAAGTGTACCATCACGTGTACCATCACGTGTACCATCAAGTGTACCATCACGTGTACCGTCAAGTGTACCATCAAGTGTACCATCACGTGTACCATCAAGTGTACCATCACGTGTACCATCAAGTGTACCATCACGTGTACCATCAAGTGTACCATCACGTGTACCATCAAGTGTACCATCACGTGTACCATCACGTGTACCATCAAGTGAACCGTCAAGTGTACCATCAAGTGTACCATCACGTGTACCATCAAGTGTACCATCACGTGTACCGTCACGTGTACAATCACGTGTACCGTCACGTGTACCGTCAAGTGTACCGTCACGTGTACCATCAAGTGTACCGTCACGTGTACCATCAAGTGTACCGTCACGTGTACCGTCACGTGTACCATCACGTGTACCGTCACGTGTACCATCAAGTGTACCGTCACGTGTACCATCAAGTGTACCAACAAGTGTACCGTCACGTGTACCGTCACGTGTACCATCAAGTGTACCGTCACGTGTACCATCAAGTGTACCGTCACGTGTACCATCAAGTGTACCATCACGTGTACCATCAAGTGTACCATCATGTGTACCGTCAATTGCACCATCAACTGTACCATCACGTGTACCGTCACGTGTACCATCAAGTGTACCATCACCTGTACCATCAAGTGTACCATCATGTGTACCGTCAAGTGCACCATCAACTGTACCATCACGTGTACCATCACGTGTACCATCAAGTGTACCATCATGTGTACCGTCAAGTGCACCATCAACTGTACCATCACGTGTACCGTCAAGTGTACCATCAAGTGTACCGTCAAATGTACCATCAAGTATACCGTTAAGTGTACAGTCACACTTTACACACCGAATCCCCCGTAAGTGTGTCAGTGTGAGGTGAGAGTAAACAATGGACTGGATGAGGGTGAGAGATGGGAGGGGGTGGAAGGGGATGTGAGAAGGGGGGGGGGGATAGTGAAGGGGGACAGGTATGGGAAGGGATGGTTAATGGGGGGGGTGAGGGCAGCCCATCCTCCCAGACTGAAGGCACCATAACAACATGGTTGATCATGGAATATATTTATGGTTGGCTTTCCTGTTCATGTTTCTCTAAAACGAATAGTACCGAATTCTACTTTCTATTTGTCCGTCACGTCGATATGTGTACGATTACCTGGAGCCTACCTGAAGAGGGTTTCGAGAGTCCTTCTATTCACCGAGCCTGGTGACTCCACTTGTCCTCATCCTCCTACACACTTGTGACGACAGACCACACACACTTGTGACGACAGACCACACACACTTGTGACGACAGACCACACACACTTCAGACGACAGACCACACACACACACTTGTGACGACAGACCACACACACTTGAGACGACAGACCACACACACTTGAGACGACAGACCACACACACTTGTGGCGACAGACCACACACTCCTGTGACGACAGACCTCACACTCTTGTGACGACAGACCACACACACTTGTGGCGACAGACCACACACTCCTGTGACGACAGACCTCACACTCTTGTGACGACAGACCACACACACTTGAGATGACAGACCACACACACTTGTGACGACAGACCACACACACTCCTGTGACGACAGACCTCACACTCTTGTGACGACAGACCACACACACATGAGACGACAGACCACACACACTCCTGTGACGACAGACCACACACACTTGTGACGACAGACCACACACACTTGTGACGACAGACCACACACACTTGTGATATATACACACACATATACATGTATATATACATATACATTGATGTCTCTCTTACTTTGAGAGAGAACCGTCACGTGTACCAGCAAGTGTACCATCACGTGTACCATCAAGTGTACCATCACGTGTACCATCAAGTGTACCATCACGTGTACCAGCAAGTGTACCGTCACGTGTACCGTCAAGTGTACAATCAAGTGTACCATCAGGTGTACCGTCACGTGTACCATCATGTGTACCATCACGTGTACCGTCAAGTGTACCGTCAAGTGTACCGTCACGTGTACCGTCAAGTGTACCGTCACGAGTACCATCACGTGTACCATCACGTGTACCGTCACGTGTACCATCATGTGTACCATCACGTGTACCAGCAAGTGTACCGTCACGTGTACCGTCACGAGTACCATCACGTGTACCATCACGTGTACCGTCACGTGTACCATCACGTGTACCGTCACGAGTACCATCACGTGTACAATCACATGTACCGTCACGTGTACCATCATGTGTACCATCACGTGTACCATCAAGTGTACCATCAAGTGTACCATCACGTGTACCGTCACGTGTACCGCCACGTGTACCATCAAGTGTACCATCACGTACCGTCACGTGTACCATGAAGTGTACCATCACGTGTACCATCAAGTGTACCGTCAAGTGTACCATCAAGTGTACCATCACGTGTACCGTCAAGTGTACCATCAAGTGTACCATCAAGTGTACCATCACGTGTACTATCAAGTGTACCATCACGTGTACCGTCAAGTGTACCATCACGTGTACTATCACGTGTACCATCAAGTGTACCATCAAGTGTACCATCACGTGTACCGTCAAGTGTACCATCAAGTGTACCATCACGTGTACCATCAAGTGTACCATCACGTGTACCATCACGTGTACCATCAAGTGTACCGTCAAGTGTACCATCACGTGTACCATCACGTGTACCATCAAGTGTACCATCACGTGTACCGTCAAGTGTACCATCAAGTGTACCATCACGTGTACCATCAAGTGTACCATCACGTGTACCATCAAGTGTACCATCACGTGTACCATCAAGTGTACCATCACGTGTACCATCAAGTGTACCATCACGTGTACCATCACGTGTACCATCAAGTGAACCGTCAAGTGTACCATCAAGTGTACCATCACGTGTACCATCAAGTGTACCATCACGTGTACCGTCACGTGTACTATCACGTGTACCGTCACGTGTACCGTCAAGTGTACCGTCACGTGTACCATCAAGTGTACCGTCACGTGTACCATCAAGTGTACCGTCACGTGTACCGTCACGTGTACCATCACGTGTACCGTCACGTGTACCATCAAGTGTACCGTCACGTGTACCATCAAGTGTACCAACAAGTGTACCGTCACGTGTACCGTCACGTGTACCATCAAGTGTACCGTCACGTGTACCATCAAGTGTACCGTCACGTGTACCATCAAGTGTACCATCAAGTGTACCATCATGTGTACCGTCAATTGCACCATCAACTGTACCATCACGTGTACCGTCACGTGTACCATCAAGTGTACCATCACCTGTACCATCAAGTGTACCATCATGTGTACCGTCAAGTGCACCATCAACTGTACCATCACGTGTACCATCACGTGTACCATCAAGTGTACCATCATGTGTACCGTCAAGTGCACCATCAACTGTACCATCACGTGTACCGTCAAGTGTACCATCAAGTGTACCGTCAAATGTACCATCAAGTATACCGTTAAGTGTACAGTCACACTTTACACACCGAATCCCCCGTAAGTGTGTCAGTGTGAGGTGAGAGTAAACAATGGACTGGATGAGGGTGAGAGATGGGAGGGGGTGGAAGGGGATGTGAGAAGGGGGGGGGGGATAGTGAAGGGGGACAGGTATGGGAAGGGATGGTTAATGGGGGGGGTGAGGGCAGCCCATCCTCCCAGACTGAAGGCACCATAACAACATGGTTGATCATGGAATATATTATGGTTGGCTTTCCTGTTCATGTTTCTCTAAAACGAATAGTACCGAATTCTACTTTCTATTTGTCCGTCACGTCGATATGTGTACGATTACCTGGAGCCTACCTGAAGAGGGTTTCGAGAGTCCTTCTATTCACCGAGCCTGGTGACTCCACTTGTCCTCATCCTCCTACACACTTGTGACGACAGACCACACACACTTGTGACGACAGACCACACACACTTGTGACGACAGACCACACACACTTGAGACGACAGACCACACACACACACTTGTGACGACAGACCACACACACTTGAGACGACAGACCACACACACTTGAGACGACAGACCACACACACTTGTGGCGACAGACCACACACTCCTGTGACGACAGACCTCACACTCTTGTGACGACAGACCACACACACTTGTGGCGACAGACCACACACTCCTGTGACGACAGACCTCACACTCTTGTGACGACAGACCACACACACTTGAGATGACAGACCACACACACTTGTGACGACAGACCACACACACTCCTGTGACGACAGACCTCACACTCTTGTGACGACAGACCACACACACTTGAGACGACAGACCACACACACTCCTGTGACGACAGACCACACACACTTGTGACGACAGACCACACACACTTGTGACGACAGACCACACACACTTGTGACGACAGACCACACACACTTGTGACGACAGACCACACACACTCCTGTGACGACAGACCACACACACTCCTGTGACGACAGACTACACACACTTGTGACGACAGACCACACACACTTGTGACGACAGACCACACACACTTGTGACGACAGACCACACACACTCCTGTGACGACAGACCACACACACTTGTGACGACAGACCACACACACACTTGTGACGACAGACCACACACACACTTGTGACGACAGACCACACACACACTTGTGACGACAGACCACACACACACTTGTGACGACAGACCACACACACACTTGTGACGACAGACCACACACACACTTGTGACGACAGACCACACACACACTTGTGACGACAGACCACACACACTCCTGTGACGACAGACCACACACACTTGTGACGACAGACCACACACACTCCTGTGACGACAGACCACACACACTTGTGACGACAGACCACACACACACTTGTGACGACAGACCACACACACACTTGTGACGACAGACCACACACACACTTGTGACGACAGACCACATACTCTTGTTAATGAGATTTTATTTACCCTTTCACATGTCCAATAAACTTTGTGAAGACGTCTGGGTATTTACAAGAGATAGTGCTGCTCTCAGTAAGTTTTTTTTTATAAACAGTAAGTCACGGTCACAGAAAACGAGAGTGCAGGGCAAACTTCTCTATAAGGACAGACCGCTCCAGAAGGAATGTCGATATTTACATGACTTGAAAATTAAATAGTCTAAAAATAGCGTGATGAATGTATTTCTGGAAC